CAAATTAAATCAACACAGAAGCTGCATCTGAAGTGGCATTTAGATGTATTTACACACATGTATTTTGTTTAATGCAAGACATGAATGCATTTAACCTGCAATTACAAATGCATAAATAATGTTTTGATATATTAAACAAAACGTTGAATACTGATATTTGAAATTATTTAAATAATGAACGATGCTTTGAAAGTGAAATTAAAACCGCCAGTAGGTGGCAGCAAATCACTGTTAATAAGTGAGTCATTGCGATTGAACTGAATCATTTAAACGGTTGATTCATACAGGAACGAAACACCGCCATGTTGCTCAGAGACACAAAACAGTGCAGTGGCTGTGTTTGGAATTATTTGTGTTGTCGAAATAGAGCAAAAACAGGCAATATGGTGTCTATAATGTAAGCCTCTTAATTAACTTCTTGTTTTTTGAACTGTTGTAAAAAATCTATATTAAGTTTGTAATCATTTTGGAGAAAAAAACAGCACTCTTTGTGCGATATTGATTAACTATATGAGTTGATATAAATATATACATTTTCTGTCCCCATATCTTGAATTTTGTGATCATTCTAAATGTATTTTAATTTAATCATGCAGTGACAGAACGCACTCTAAGTGCGAACGTGCACTAGTCTAGACTTCACGTAATGTGTGCGTGCACTCTCTGTAGGGGGGTTTTGAATGGTTTTTGCAAAATACTCGATAATGTCAAATTGCACATCGTTAAAACAACAATTACGATATTATCGCAGACGATATATATCGCACAGCCCTACTCTTGGGTGGTGTTTTTAAGATGCTGACCTTCAGAGCCAACAGACTCTTATTGATTTCGGCTCCCTCCAAACGAGTCTGCCGATCAGCGCTGGATGTGTCCGCTCCACGTTCGTTACCCGCCAGATCAATGAGTGAGAATTTGCCGTGCATCTTGCCCTTCTTTCGTAGAATGATTTGGAAGACGGCGTGGCTACGGGATGAGTGGGCATTAGCTGAGGTCTGACCTGAGGTCCTAAAATGGAAGATAAGAAGGTGAAATTTAAGTCAGGAGTGTCTGATAATTGTGTGGACCAATTATAGATCAAAGATCATGAAACGTTAAGGAAAAGATTATGAAATAAACAAATGCTAATAACTAGAGCAATATTCAGTGAACTTGTTTTACCCATTGGGTATTACCTGCAACTGTTCCCTATTTCAATAAGTTTGAGGACATCCTCGGTGCATTTGACCTCACGCTCCTGAAGCCCAACCACCTGCACCTGCTGCTTCCCATCTTCTAGCACACGTAGCTTAGTCTTACGATTCAACAGATCAAATACCTAAAGAAGAAAAAGACTTTGAAAGACTTGTCCCATTTTTAAAATAGCCTTTAGCTATCAATTAGTCATCAATTTTCTAAAACACCCCTCTTGATAAAAAAAAAAAAATCAATGAAAGGAAATATTCTGTGAAATGAAACTGATCCAGTCACTTAGCAAATGAGCACAAATCTTCAAATGGTATTCACAACACGTTTTGAATGAACAAAAAGTGAACGTAACTCAGAGCCACTTACCTTTCCACTGTAAATTTCAAAGAAAGTTGCGTAAACCTGAAGATCCAGCTTCTTATAATTTGGTTTCTTCAGCATGAGAAAAACATCTCGAGCTGTGTGTGGACAACATGTATTTGAATGAGTTTGCTTGAAAGAACAAGATTAAAGAAAATATAGGACCAAATAAACATCAATTACCAGCTAATGCATAGATTCCTTTTGAACAATCCTGGTTCTTTCCTGAAAAATCTCCACCCATGGTCTAAAAAAACAAACCAATTGATGAGCTTTATGTCTTATTACACTGACATATGACAAATAAAAAATAAAGTTGTGGCCATTATCAGTACAAAAACTAGCAAACTGTACAAAGTCTTTTTTTTTTTTTTTTTCAATCTCAGTTAAATAAAATAAATACTTCTTACATGTGTTTTTCCACTTCCTGTTTGGCCATAAGCAAAGCATGTGGCCATTCCTCTATCAAAGATTGTTTCCACAAGGGGTCTTGCAGTAAACCTGTGTAGAAAACGGTTATAAGATATTTATTCTCCAACAGTGACTAATTCCCAACATCATTTTTAGAGAAATATTCATGTTTAATGAACAACAAATGAAATCATCCTTACCTGTAAACCATTTCATTTGTTGTGCTGTCATCAAAGGCATAATCGAAGCGGAATGTTTGGTTCTCTAGGTATCGAGTCAGATCCACCTTCTGTTTTGGTTCATGAACCATGACAACATCTTTACTTGGAATAGTGATCACATCTAGGTCCTTTACTGTCAACTCTACAACACAAATGAGAAATAAATTACAACACGTAAGGTAATTAAAAAAACAACATTTCTGAGTCATTACCTTTTTTATTGAGGGGTCGTTTCCTAACACAGACACATATTCTGTGCTCCTCAATCTGTCAAAAAAAAATTAATCACGTTTTACATCTCTTAATAAAATGTTTTACTTAACATCCAAGAATGAAGAATAAGATATTGCTAGTTATAATTTTTTCTTACTAATAATACATGATATTGATATAATGATATTATATATTATTTTTTCTGTATTACTATTATTATCATCATTAAGAGGTGGATCTCAAATACATGAACATGACCATGTCTAGGTTGTATTCCCCTCCAAAGTTCAAATGGAGAAAAAAAATGTTGAATAAATAATCATTATAATCAAAATTAAATAATGAATAAAAAATTAACTAACAACAACAATAATAATAATAATATTAAAATAATGATACATGATGGCTGTGTTTGTTAAATTAAATTTCATTAATCCATTCATCATTTTGTTTTATTTATTTTATTTCATATTTTATTTTATGACCCAGACATTAATTCATCAATACCTACCAAATCTGTCGTGGTTAGCGGTCGATAGTCCAAACTTGCTCTGAAGTCTCGGATCATCTGCAGTATTTCATAGTTTGGAATTGTTGTATCAATTTCCTTTAAAACAAAACAAGCACATTCACAATAGGAACACCACCAGGTGAAATAATCTATTTGTCAAACCCATTACAATTAAAAGCTGAGAGACGAAGCAGAACGATATAATGACAGAAAGATGAGGAGTCTTACCTGTGCTCGCTTTTCTCTCAGTTCCTGTTGCTGTATCCTGCGTCTCTCCCTCTTCTCCTGCAATTTTTCCACTTCCTTCACACAGTTCGACTTCCTCCTTGCTGTTAAGAGGGCAGAATGGTACACACGATTCCATTTTATCAAAGGCAACAACCGTTTCCTCTTTCAGCCCATCCCCTCCCACACTGTATCTCTCGCTAATATAAGAGTGTATGTGTCAGGGCTCTACAGAGCGACCATTTCAGTCGCATTTGCGACTGAAAACTACTGCGTGCGACTATGAAATAATATTGAAGTCAAATATCACCTTTTTTATCAGAATTTTTGATTACTGATTAGAAACTCCTAAAATTTTGACCGTGCTCCTAATTTTTTTTAAATTAGGAGCACAAGCGTTCCTAAAAAGAAAAGTAAGTGTAGAGCCCTGTGTGTGTAGACAGAGTGGCTATAGAGGCAAGCCACAGCCTCTGGCAGCTGGCACATGGTAGCGCCAACAGCCCTCTCCATCTTAAAGAGCTCTGTTCTCTGAGCAGACCTTTTCCAACGACATTTATCCATGTGCTCTTGCTGTCTACAACATACCTAACATTACTGCTATTACTTGCAAACAGTAGTATCAGCAGAATAAGGAATAAAAGATTTTAATATTATCCAAAATCTGTTCTGATGAAGAAACAAACTCATCTACATCTTGGATGATCTAAGGGTGAGAATATTTTCAGCAGATTTTCATTTTTGGTTGAACTATTCCTTTAACTGCAATTCTGAGAAAGAATCGCAGCATATCTGTGAATCAATTTTGTCCCATCCCTGCACTAAACAAGCAAATCAAACCAGTCTAGAACAATTGTAGTTCTGCCCAAAGAATGTGCTGCATCATGTAGCACATAGAAAACAGTTTTTAATTAATTCAGCAGACACACTCTAGTAAGCTTCATAAATTCAAAGCAAGAGGATTAATCGGGGAGGTTCAGAGTCAGGTCAATCTTGCCCGGTCACAAACAGTCACTGACATTCAGAAGCGTGGCAGGGGTAGCCAAGATTTGAGCCAAGGTACCGACAGATGAGCAAGGTTTAGGTTTACTGCAAAATTCAGACTCTAAAAGGATGCTTTCTCTTTATGCATGATATGCATCCTGCGCAGGAGACTCAGTCCAGCTTTCAGCGTTTTCCTGTGGGGAAAAGGGGGTTGACAATAACAGATTGAAAAGCACTGAGGAGTGTCATATTACCGTTTTGTTGCTGCTGAGTTAGCTGACTTTGGGTCAGGCTCTGTGTGGGCTGAGAGGGCTGTTGTGCTGGTGGAGGGGGTGCTGATTCTGGCTGTTGCTGCTGGGCCAGCCGTCCCCGAGTCGAGCCAACTTTAAAACAGAACACGTAAGAGTCAGCGAATCACACTCGGACAAACAGAGACTATGTCTGCAAACTGAGGCATCACAGGAGCACTCAAAACATGCCTATGATGCACAAAAATGCCGCTTAGGGTGACAGCTCACCAAGTTTTGAAACACAGCCAGCTTAGTATGCTAAGACAACTATAAGTCATGTGTAGTAAAACAGCCATTTTTACTACATCAAAATTTACTATATCAAAAAAAAAAAATAATTTAATGTGTGCTTGCCCCCATTGTCTACAAATCCTTGTTGTTATTATTTATATTTATCATTTAACACCATATCAGCATCAAAGGCTAAATTCGTGGCAAACTTAAGCAATAATAATGAGTAGTAAATTAAAATATAAATAGTCATAAAAAATAATACTTAAGTAAATTATATACAATAATGTCACAAAAACACAAACAAACAATAACAAAAAGTTATATAACATCAATATATTTCATATTTGTTAAAAATTCTAATATTTTCCAAGGAGAAGCTTTTTTTAATGTCCATTAATGTAATTTTTGAATAAAACTTTGTCTAATATTCAAATATGCTTTAAGCAATTTCTGCAAAGGAAGACTTTAAAAAAAATCACATATATCCAATTATTTCCCCTAGTGTTATTACAGTACATTAGATTTGTATAGTAATTTATAGCACTAAAAATGTTTAGAATTAGGCAATGAGGAAAAAAGTAGTTCCCAGTGTATGTTATAACGAATTTAGTGTACAGTCACAATGAAGTGCTTGTGGAGTGTGCACTCTCTGAAAAAACTGCATCATGAGCCTGACAAATGCATGTGCTGCCCCTTCACTCTGAAGCACCCAGCACATGCACACTACTTTTTTTTTTTTACCTAAATCACTTTTGTGGATTAATAACTGCACATGGCCATACTCGATTTATTGTGCAGCCCTATTCCTGAGTCATATAACAACAAATATACCTCTGTTGTCTCTGGATGGGATTTCACTCCTTCCCGGTGCAATAGTTCTACGATTCTGCACACAAACAAGTGTACAAAAAGGTTCAAAATATGCGAACAATTAGAATGCAAGTTCAACTTTTAACTCTGGCCTCATACAAACCTTAGGGATTTTGTTGACCTTCAAAGAGCTGGGTGTAGGAGGCGGTGGTGTAACAGGGCTCAAGGAAATCTCCTCCTCTGGAGCAACATCTGGATTTAGTGAGAATATGCACTCCAAATCAATCTGTTATGAAAAAAAGAACAAGCTGTGAACATTACAAGAAGAAATCTGATCACTTTTTTTGCCAAATCATGCAGAATGCTCTAATCTTAAGGAGAAAAATGGTTCAGGGTACATGATAACATAATTCATATTTGAAAGAAACACAGCATATGTGTCCACTGACTGAGAGTTTCATACTGAACCCTAACAACACCAGAATGTTGTTCTATCCATTATTAATGACACAGGCAGCTGAGAGGCTACTAGACTTACCTCTTTTCCTTTAGTGTCTCCATTTTCTATCCATTCCACAGTAGCACTTTCATTATCTTCATTTAAAGAGGTCACCATGGCCTGGTGTATTCGCCCTGTAAGTAACCCAACACCTCTAAGTGTGAAAGACAAATTGAAAACATTCATGTATCCACTTAGAAATTTTACACATCTAATGGTAACTTGAAAAAGTGTTTATGTACATGATGGCATGTCAACAGCAATCTGCTTCTCAGGACACTTCAGAAGTTGTGCTATTACCTACTGAAAAGTATCAGAGCATCACTGAAAACAAACAGCCATGGTTCCATATCTATTATTCAGAGCTATTCCTACTCACACGTCGACATCCCTGCAATTATTCAACAGTGGCATCAGCAAGAAAAAGCACATATTATCCTGCCATAAAACAAGCTATTTAAAACCGCTGTGTGCAACATCAGGCCAAAAGAAAAGTTAAAACCCAGCTTGAAGTAAAGGCACATCTTTATGACGCTAGAGACCTCCTCTGTTAAAAGATGTCACAAGCACTGTTCATCTTCAGAGAGCATGTCAAGAGTCATCTCTATTAAGCAATACATGAAACTTCCCAAAGAGACAGGAGTGGTTTGTCTATCACGTCAGACCCGGGGCTCACTTTATTCCTTTGCTACAAGCTGAAGTTAAATATAACACAGCCTTCTCAAAGAGATAAAATTATCATCTCTTCTGACAGTCTTCCAAATAGTATTGATGCGAATATCAATGATACGCCACTGAATGCTTACAAGACACCAACACTAGTTTTACTATATTTCAATCTCTGAACTGTGAAATCATTAGTAGAATTTGATACTTGATTACTTGTAATTAAACAATTAATCTCAATCTTCATTAAACATCTTAAATATATTCTTTTTATTACCAATATAATACAGATTAGTAGTAGTAGTAGTAGTAATAGTAGTAGAATTACTACTGTTCTTATTTAAAGTTGTGGTGGTTGTTAGCTTTCTAAATGGAAAAATAGTTTTCATCTTTGCCTTGGATCAAACTTTCTAACCTAAAAATAAATGGCTGTTATTTACAAATTTAAGTAGTTGTCCAAACAGTACATCAACCAGGTTACTTCACATTTTAAAGCCATTGTTTGGTTCTATTTTTGAGTGAATGAACTGTGAATATTGGTAATTTATTTATACATCTGTTTATAATAATGCAACTAATCCCAAGCGATGTTCCCTGTTTTATGTACAGTGGGTACGGAAAGTATTCAGACCCCCTTAAATTTTTCACTCTTTGTTATATTGCAGCCATTTGCTAAAATCATTTAAGTTAATTTTTTTTATGGAAAAATAGTTTTCATCTTTGCCTTGGATCAAACTTTCTAACCTAAAAATAAATGGCTGTTATTTACAAATTTAAGTAGTTGTCCAAACAGTACATCAACCAGGTTACTTCACATTTTAAAGCCATTGTTTGGTTCTATTTTTGAGTGAATGAACTGTGAATATTGGTAATTTATTTATACATCTGTTTATAATAATGCAACTAATCCCAAGCGATGTTCCCTGTCTTATGTACATTAAGCAATAATAATAAAAAAAATTTAATCCCAACCTGTCAGTATTTCCTTTGGCCACTAGGATGGAGTTTAATCTCTGAACCCAAAGAATGACACATCACATAATTTCAAGGGATTTACTTGTCATCTTCAAATCGTTACACTTACAATACAGTCAGAATATTATGACTAGGCCTATATGAAAATTTAGAGTAAAACCAGCAACCTCCCTCTGTCCACAACCAATCTGTAAAACAAAACATTAATTTGCAAGTGACTTAAGATGGCTAACCCACATAAATCTAGAATATACAAGACTTACTGATCATATTCCTTACCAATACAAGACATAAATAATTCCACACTAATCTGCACCAAGTAAACCAGTTAATGGGCTCATATCAAATATGACCGCACACATTATGAATATCTAAACAAACTCCACCCGGGTTTAGCAGGTGGCTAACGTAAGCCAACAGTTGTACTGTTGATTGACACAAGCTCGTCAACTACCCGGGCAACCAGCTCCAACAGACCGAACTTAACACTATATATCGATTTATACCAGGCCCGACCACCTAAACCTTCCGTTTCTGTCAGGTTTTTTTTGTGTGTGTGTGGTAACGTTAGCATCCGTTAGCCGAACCGGAGCAACGACTTTAACGGACGGTTACAGGCGACCCAAATATGAACTCACCATCGCTGCGTTTTATCTCCACATAAATCCCCACGACGATCTTGCCGAAGTTCACCGCCATGGCTCATTTATGGGACGGAGGGAATACTCAAATAGACAGGCGTGTGGGAACTAAAAACAGTGTTTGTGTTTGAATTTTTCACATTTGTTGTTCCGTGTTGCTCAAAACCGGGAGGCGGCCACAGCGCGGCACATAAAAGCAAGAGGGGGAGAGTTCACGGCGCGTGCGCGGGGGCCGTTCTACTTGCGTGTTTTTTTTTCACGCCAGTCCCGCCTCCTGTGTTAGGATTGGCTAGAAGCAGCCGGAGGTCTGCGATCGGACAGTTGATGTAACCATAGCAACCACAGTAAGCGGAGGAAGCCGCTTTGTATGGTAAAGTTCTAGTTGCTAAATACATCACTCAAATCTGAGTTGAGGAAGTTCTGACGTTTGCTTCCTTAATTTTTTGTCCCTCCTCTAGAAATCCCAGTATTGCAAAAATGGGCTTTTACATTCACTTGCTGTCAGTTATACCCATTCGAGCATTAAAGCAGTTCAGTCTGCAGGCTGAAGAGGAGCGATGGAAGACAGTCCAAATGAAAACACCGCATTAATTAAAAACAAACCAGCCCGAATCAGGTGACTTCATCGTTCCGTTGTCCTTCTTTGTTCTCGATTTATAACCGACTCAATGGAATTTCATGTTTTTCGTGCATTTATTTATTTATGTTTATACTTCCTAGACATGGCAGGCTATTCCTTGCGGTTTTTTCAGCTGTTTTGGGCAATTTTACTTTTGGGTTTGCCTTGGTGTTCCCCTCCCCTGTCATCCCCCAGCTTCAAAAGGGTGATGACCCTCGGCTGCAAATGGACATCCATCAAATATCATGGTTTGGTGTAAGAACATTAATGTGTCTAAAGATAGAAGATGTTTTCAGGTGTAAACATACAGTAAAAATACATCTTTGTAACTAGTTTCTCTTTTGTTTGTTAGTCAATTTTCACCCTTGGTGCAGCCTTAGGGGGTATTAGTGCCATGGTGCTGAATGACAGAGTTGGGAGAAAAATAAGCATTATGTTGTCAGGAGTACCATCTGCTGTAGGTCTCCTTGTGATGGGGGCTGCACAAAACTTTTGGATGTTATTATGGGGCCGATTTCTGACTGGAATCGCTGGTGGTATCACGGCTGGCTCTATTCCTGTAAGTTATCTGTTAGTCCATCTTGTTTATCGATTGATGAATATGCATAATACTACAGTGCCACTGCAAAATGCAATTGTATTATTATTATTATTTAGTTTTTTAGTAAGTTTGATAAAAATGACAGTGGCATGAAATGATATAAAGATAATAGGTATTGATAATAAACATGTCTGCTGGCCTCCCACAAAAACAAATATAGTGTAACCATTGATTTCTGAACAATTGACGAATTAATTGGTTGCAGAGACTCACATTTGTGAGTTATTGCAAGGTTTCTGCAGGTCTTCCATGAATTAAGGCCTTAAAAAGGTCTTAAATCAGAGCAGAAATTGATAAAGTCAAGGCACGCATTGCTAAAAATCGATGTATTCATCAGTATTTTTCTCAGTAATACAAATATCTATCTAAACATCCTTAAATCAAAATAGATGTACTTGAGATTCAAAATTAAGATTTGAAGTCTTGTTTTCTGAAAATTTTTTTTAACAAAATTAAGTGAGTTTGTTTAAAACTAACAAATAGCTGGTACAGTAAAATTTATTTTCATATTCTAGTGTTTGAGAGAAGAGGTATTCAAGCCTTAAGTTATTGTTTTTATGGGGATCAGTAGGAAGTTGTATTTTCAAACTTTGAAGTGTTGCTACGACTCAATGTAATGCAGCTCATTTAAAGAACATATTGACGTTTTGTGATGTCTTCAATTTATTCCTTAAATTTTCTTTCCTTGGTCTTAAAAAATCTTTAAAAAGAAAATTTGAAATGTACCTCCATAAAACTATATATACTATAGAAACCTATATTAGTTTCTATCTGAATTATTTGCTGAATCCATGAGATCTGATGGATGTTCATACGACACTGTGTTGTTAGATATAGCCTACAAATAAGAGTTTCATTGTAACATATGGGATTTTAATTAAAGAAACGTCATGATATATTAGTGGTTGCAGTTTTATGCCTAATAGATCTCATTAACATCAGTTGATGTCTTTTCTCATAGGTGTACGTGTCAGAGATTTCACACCCGTCTGTGAGGGGTGCGCTGGGTTCATGTCCTCAGATCACAGCTGTCTTTGGAAGTCTAGCACTCTACGCGCTTGGTGAGAGAGCTCATATTTCTCGGGTTGTTTTGGTTGTATGATGAAACACATTTTCTCCAACACTTTAAAGAATTTCCAAGCATTTTTCAGATACATTCTTTATAAATGATGCTATTTTATGGTCTCTCTCCAGGCTTGGTTTTGCCGTGGAGGTGGCTGGCTGTGGCTGGGGAGATCCCTATTGTTATCATGATGATTTTGCTTTGCTTCATGCCGACCTCCCCACGTTACTATGTAATGAAAGGAAACAGAGCAAAAGCAGTTAAATCACTAGAATGGCTCAGAGGCCCCAATTCTGATTACTTGACCGAGTTCAATAAAATTGAGCGCAGTATCAATTCTCAGGTAAAAGGCACATTGCGGTGGATTACATCATGTTATCAGGGTGGTTTTGCCATAGAATTAAAAGGTCATGCAAATAGAATTCAATAAGTGAGAATATTGTATAGTAATAACAGTTGTATTGTACTGTTTTTAATCACAAACTTCAATATTCAAAAAGCTTTAGATAAAAAAAAGCTATTTAAAGTTTTGATGCATTTAATTTTTTATTGCATAATATTATAACATGACTTATATACAACCTCTCAAGGTTGTTGGTTAAAATTTAAAATGCAAATTTCACAGAAGGGGGTTTGCTGCAGTATTGCAGGGGGACTGCCAATTATTGCTTGGAATTAAGAAAAAATTCAAATATGCATTATATAAAAATAGAATATTAAATTACTTTCATGTTCTCTCCAACAGGGCGCTCAATGGAGTGATCTTAAAACACCTTTATACTATAAACCAATTCTAATCTCAGTCTTCATGAGATTCCTGCAGCAGATGACTGGTATAACCCCAATTCTTGTATATCTGGAGCCCATCTTCCACATGACAGCTATATCACTAGTATGTCATAAAGAGTTTATTCATTCACACTGTGAAATACCTGAAAGCACATTAATCCACCTAAAAAACTGATGTTTTATTGCCATTTAGGAACCGAAATATGATGCAGCATTAGTGGGAGTTGTAAGACTGATGTCTGTTGTTATCGCAGCCAGTTTGATGGACAAAGCTATTTAAAGTTTTGATGCATTTAATTTTTTATTGCATAATAGTATAACATGACTTATATACAACCTCTCAAGGTTGTTGGTTAAAATTTAAAATGCAAATTTCACAGAAGGGGGTTTGCTGTGGTATTGCAGGGGGACTGCCAATTATTGCTTGGAATTAAGAAAAAATTCAAATACGCATTATATAAAAATAGAATATTAAATTACTTTCATGTTCTCTCCAACAGGGCGCTCAATGGAGTGATCTTAAAACACCTTTATACTATAAACCAATTCTAATCTCAGTCTTCATGAGATTCCTGCAGCAGATGACTGGTATAACCCCAATTCTTGTATATCTGGAGCCCATCTTCCACATGACAGCTATATCACTAGTATGTCATAAAGAGTTTATTCATTCACACTGTGAAATACCTGAAAGCACATTAATCCACCTAAAAAACTGATGTTTTATTGCCATTTAGGAACCGAAATATGATGCAGCATTAGTGGGAGTTGTAAGACTGATGTCTGTTGTTATCGCAGCCAGTTTGATGGACAAAGCAGGTCGAAAAGCTCTACTGTTCACCTCAGGTTTGTGTAGAATTAAAGAACAAAGTATTATATTTGGTAAATGTAATTCATTGGAAAAAAAAACAAAAAAACAAACACATATTTTTTCCTTCAGGATTTTTGATGTATATAGCCATGCTTTCAATGACCATGTACACCCACAAAACATCGTGCAGCCATGGCAATCTTACCATAACCGAGGGCTTGAAGAGCACTTATGGAGGCTCAACAGGCCCTGCCTTCGATCCAATAACTCTAATTCCTCTAATTAGCTCTATGGTCATCATATTTGGTGAGTTTTTAGGAAGTTTGTCCATATACAGTGTGACCAGTTCACTTTGACTTACTGTAGAAGCTTTTTGTAGCTTACTTACTTCATTTTTAGAATTAGTTCTAGTACTGTTTCTTCATGTATAATACGATGCAGCATAACATTGCTGATTAATCTCCTATGCAGGTTATGCTTTGGGTTGGGGTCCAATCACGTGGCTGCTAATGTCAGAGATTTTACCCTTGGGTGCGCGTGGTGTTGCATCTGGTTTGTGTGTTGGTGTTAGCTGGATCACAGCCTTCATTCTGACGCAACTCTTCATGCATGTGGTGGTGAGCTAAATCTCTTTTTTACACACATAGAAACTGGAATTGGAAAATACCAATTTTTTTAATAACTTGCCTAACAACACATACAACAACATGATCCTTGTTCAAGATCATTAAAAGATAATATAACCTGCTCTTGATAATACTCATGTTATGCATGATTATATTTCTTCAGATTTTTTTCTTTCTGATTGTTTCAATTTGTAGTATTTTTCATATACATAGTTGTGTGAGTTTTTAATAAGTATAGCTATAAAAGACAAACTTGATAACATATATCTTTTCATATAGGAGGCCTATGGACTCTTTGCACCTTTCCTGTTCTTCTGTGTCGTCTCTGTAGTGAATATCATTTTCACAGCTAAATGTGTGCCAGAAACTAAAGGCCGGACTCTGGAAGAAATTGAGAACTATTTCAGGACTGGCCGAACCTTCACTATTCTTGATTCATAATATGTCTATTTTGCAGCGATACTGTGGCACTATTTAATCCACAACAAAATAAATTATGTTTTACCCAAGTTGTGAGTTTGCCCGTTCGAATGTGGTGAGATAAAATGACTGGGTGATGCCAAATAATATACATTTATATATTGTCTTTATATTGAGCTACATAATTGCTTTATGAATGTTACGCTGATGTAAATACATTAATATGTAAAATCTGTCCAATGTACATTTATTAGAAGGATGTACTGTATAGAGTCATATGAGTGTACACTTATCTAAAGGATATCAATAAATGTGTGTATATACTGTATATATAATGTCTCTATCATGCTCTCAGTTTCTATGTTAAATATGAACATGTGGTTTGGTACTTCACTTCTCTTTCACTATTCTGCAATTGTTTCCATCAGTGTGACCAAACTAAACCTATATTGCACAAAATGTGTTTGTCCAGGAGCAAAAGTACAATGATAAGGAGAAGTTACCATGGGTGTGGACCACAGCTAGAATTGAGCAAGACTTCAGCTAAATTAATTCTGGCCTTTGTCATGTCCTGATATGTACATAAAGATTTTGGATTAATTATTGTTTATCACTTTACTTAATGCTATAACTATGAACTATACACAAAAATAATGATCCGTTTCTTAATTATACTTCCTGTTATTTGTTTTTTTCCCCAAACAATTAAATAATTCTCCAACCTTCTTACCCAATTAATTGCATATGCTTTTTATCAGTAAGCATATTTTTCTAACAAAGGTTTGCTGTTTAAAAGAGAACAATGTTTTGTGTCATTGACAACTTTGAGAAGATTCCTCTTTCTGCTTTCATACTGTATGATGCCACAGTGCATCCTGTCAATCAAAACCAAAGCATTGTTATGCACCTGTGTTACATACATACTACATTTGTAAATGTTGAAAATTTGTCAAAACACCTAAGTGGTATGCAGTGCATTATTTATCTAATAGACAAATATTCATCATTCTTATTTGCCACTTTTCAGTCACTTAGATTGATTTCCTTCCACCAATGAATGGCAGATTTAGGCATAGATAATATTATTAATATATTGTCACTTTTTAAATTAAATGTAATTAAAATTACATAATACTAACTGTTAAATTTTGGGAAATAATCAAAAAATAATAATTTAAAAAAGTCAATTGAG